CCAAGTCCATTAGAGTACTGGCTGAGGAAGAGGACGGGTGTGTGCAAGGAGATGGTAAAGGAAGATGGCAAATAGCATTACCCTTGAAACTGTAGCTAGCTTTGCCAACCTCTGTAAGTCTTTTTAAGAAGATTGCTACCATATTGAAGTATTGTACTTGCAACTCATGCCCTCAAAGGGCTATTTCAAACTATAGTACTTTCCTTATAATCTGTATGAAGACATCTGTGCAGCCAGGCATGGCAGCACATGCCTGTATTCTCAGCACTCGGGGAGGCTGAGACAGGAGGACCACCAGTTGAAGGCTCGCTTGCGCAATCAGCAAGATCCTGTCAAAATTTTTTTTTATAAAGGCTAGTGACGTATATCAGTGTGAAGACCATGGGTTCAATACCAAGTAATGCAAAAATCTCTCATAAATAAAATTACAGGTTGTAAGATAAAGTAGGGAATTTATTTGAAGAATATAATGATGGATGAAAGATTAATATATGTAAGTAACTCGAACTAAGGAGAAGCACTAACAGGATAAAGGGGATGAGCAGGCAATAATAAAAATAAGAAATAAAAAAGAAATACAATAAAATTATGGAAAGATACTCAAACAGTAGCAATTCGGAATGCAATTTAATGAATAAATTATTATTCTGATGAAATTAATACTTATTCTAAAAATTGAAATAATTATTACATGCTATAAAATTCACCCATTTGAAGTGACCGTCTCGGTTGCTTTTAGTTTATTCACGAAGTCATGCAACCTTCAGTACTACATAGTTTGTCTTTGTCCATTTGGGCTATTGTAACAAAACACTATAAACTGCATAGCTCATAAGCAACACGGATTTATCTCTCACAGTTCTGAAGTGTGGAAAGTCTAAGACCAAGGTGCTGGCAGATTTAGTATCATTCTGGATGTGGCCTGCTTGGTGAATCCTCACATGGTCCTTTCAAAGCCCTCACTTCTTATTATCATTACAGTGGGGACTCAATTTCATCATATGAGTTTTTTTTTTGAGACAGTGTCTTGATATGTATTCCAGGTTGGCCTTGAACTCACTGTGGAGCCAAAGCTGGCCTCTAACTTGTGGCGATCCTCCTGCCTCAGCCTCCTGAGGGCTGGGATTACAGGTGTGTGACACCATGTCCGGCCCAGCATATGAATTTTGGAGGAACATAAACATGCAGACTACAGACTAATTTGAGAACATCTTTTTTCTCATCCCCAAGGGAAACCTACCTATCCACAGTCACTTCCCGCTCCCAAACCTTGGCAACCACCAATCTATTTTCTACAGGATGGCTAACTGAATCCCCCATAAGGGATCAACTGAACCAAACCAAAGCAACAACTCTCTTCTGAAAATGTATAAGTAGAAGTTGGCCCCTGCGCTGATTGACAGTCTAAAGTTATACTACTGGAATTATCTAACAAAGCTTAAGTGGATATTTTTAGTGATTTCTTGACTGATAGTACAGAGCAAAACAAGTCTTTTCTGGAAGAGTCTTTATTGGTACCAGCTTTTAAATTCCACACATATTTGCTAAGGAAATGTGCAGCTCGCTGTAAAAACAAAATGAATAACTGAGTGAATAAACAAGGAAACAGAGTCCCATAAATAAGATCCAGCAGAAACACAGATATCCAAATTGGACCAAAAATTTCAGATACTGGAATTCAAGATTATCTTAAAACTAGAAAAATGTTAATTCAGTTTCAGGGGTAGTGTGAAAACTCATCTTAATGGATGAAAAATATTTAATGTAATTCAACATCTCATGATTTAAAGAAAACTTCTAATAAATTAGGTATAAAAGGAATCATCCCTAACTTGATTTTAAAAAGTTATTTGTTTCCAATCTATGACTAATTTCTTAGAGGTGAGAGGCTGAATGCATCGTTAAGATTTTGAACTGGACCAAGATGCCTCTATAACTACTTTTCTCACATTCTATTGTATGTTCTATCAAGCATAGTAGGGGAAAAAATAGATGTATAAGGATATGAAGATTGGGAAGAAAGAGGCAGAATGGTCATTATTGTCAGATATAGTATTGTCTGTGTATTTTTTAATCTACAAATAAATTCTTAAAATTAGTAAACACTATTATTAAGGCTGATTGTTACAATCAATTGCATTTCTATACATCAACAACTGAAAAAATATAAATTTTAAATATATCATTTCCTTATGACCTCCAAAACTATCAAATACCTAGGAATAATGAACGATACACATGTACTACATAGAGAGAATTATAAAACTATTGGTGTCTACTAAAGAAGAACAAAAAATGAAGAACTGAATCACGCTCATAATTTTTGAGACTCCACTGCTTTACGATATCAGTGCTTCCATGCCCCACTGGATGTTAAGTAGTGTGCAGTCCTAGAGATTTAATGTAATTTTGACAAAAACCTCAACAGGTATCCCTGATTTGTGAAACCTGCCAATTTGATTTTAAAATATGTGTGGAGTTATAACAAGCAAGAATAAAGCCAAAGGGCTCTAGAAGGACAAAATGGAGCTACCCGCTTCCCAGATTACAAGACCTGCAACAAAGCTATGGTGACTGGGAGGGACAGAAAATGGGTGGACGGAGGCAGCAAGGGGGAGACTTATGTGCATGTAGGTACTGGATGAGATGACAGAGGCAGCATTGCAAAGCAGCAGGGGAAGGACAGACTATCCCTAAAGGGCGATATTTGTAACAGAAACTGAGACTAGCGAGAGGTGAAGTAAGAGCTTTATCTAAAGCACTGTGGTCAGAAGAACTGAAGAGAGAGGCTTCTGAGCGAAACTTAAAAGTGTTTACTGAGGCGAAACTCCGAGTGGAAAAGTACCGGAGGGCAAGGCCGCTGACTCGGAGCTGGATGCTCACGTAGCTCATCTGTCCCCAGCATTCCCATGCCTTTTTTTTTTTTAATCATTGGCCAGCTCAGGTGGTCATTGTTCAGAATCTCATTTCGCTCCTTGGAATTTATTGCTTCTTGGAATTTATGATAACCACACACTCATCTCAATTCCTAGAGCTGCCTTAGGTACAGAAGTTCAGTTCAAAGTTCATGAGTGGAAAATTATAGCTTTTCACAATACGAAAACATGAAATGGACTTTACCTCATACCACATAAAAATTAACTCCAAGTAGCTTAAGGATTTAAATGCGAGAGGCAAAGCTATGAATCTTTCGTAAGATAACATAGTAGAATTCTTTTATGGCTTTGGGGTAGTAAAGGAATTCTCAGATACCAAAACACTAACAGAGAAAGATAATTGTCACATTTCACTACATTAATATAAGTTCTTTCACTCATCAAAATACATCATAACAAAGGTGAAAAAACAATTCTCGAATTGAAAGTATTTTCACACATATAGCTTGTAAAAATTAGTGTACAGAAAATATAAGGAATTCCTATTGATCAATAAGGAATAAACAAAACTGCTAACTAGAAAAATAGGCAAAATCCACTAACAGGAATTCCATCAGAGAGGACAAATGATCTATAAACACAGAAAAAGATCTTCACTCCTTATGATTAGAGAAATACAAGTGAAGAAAACAGTAGGATGTAATTTGTATTGGCAAAATATTGAAAAGGTTGATGTGTTGCATGCTATGATGGATATAGGACAGTGGGAACAATCATACACTGCTGGTAGAAGTATAAATTGGTGCAATGCCTTGGAGATGCTTCTACTGTATCATAAAGTGGCTCGCTCACTTACTCTTTGACCAGCTGTATCACAGGGTATGTTCCTTAGGGAAATTTGTGCATGTACGCTATGAGATATGTGCAGTGGTATCCTTAGAAGGTTTATTTAGACAAGATAAAACACCAAAAGCAGTAGAAATGTCCTTCTACAGTTGATAGGCAAAAGAGCAGAATTTCTTTCATATGACAGGACATTATATAGAACAAGTGGGACATGGGCTAACTATAATCACAAGCTTTAACATAATGCAATCTTAAAGCATAATGTGAGTAAATGAAGAAGAACGTATATGTATGGCTTAGTTTTGTTAGGTTTTTTGGTTTTTATTTATTTATTTATTTTTATTATTATTATTTTTTTTTTTGGTTTTTCTCCGGTACCGAGAACCGAACTCACGACCTTGAGCTTGCCAGGCAGGCGCTTTGCCACTGAGCTAAATCCCCAGCCCCTTATTTTGTTGTTTTTTTGAAGGAACCTTGCTATGTGGTCCAGGCTAGCCTTGAACTTTCTATGTCGCTCATGCTGGCCTCAAACTCACAGTCCTGCATCAGCCTCGCAAGTACTGGAATTACATGTGTGTACCACCACACCTAGCTTTGACTTAGTTTTTATAAGGTTTTTTTTTTTTTTTAGTTTTTATCTGGTACTGGGAATCAAACTCACAACCTCGCACTTGCCAGGCAGGCACTGTGCCGCTGAGCTAAATCCCCAGTCCAGTTTTTATAAAGTTTTAAAGCAGGCAAGGTTATGGCATTAGAAGAGAGAATAAGGGTTACTTTGGGGGAATGTATTAGCTGCCCTTGTGTCACTTTAACAAAATACCAGGGATGTACATCTTAAAGGAGGAAGAATTTATTTCAATTCATGCTTGTGGAGGTTCAGACCATAGTCATTTGCTCCAAGGCAAAAACATCCTAGTGGAAATGCATGGTGGAGGAAAATTGCCTACCTTGTGCTGGCCAAGAAGCAGAACGAAAGGGGAAGAGCCAGAGAAGGAGGGGTTGGAGACAAGATGTACCACCCTCCAAAGTCACATCCTTAGTGATCTACTTCCTCCTACTAGGCTCCACCTTTGAACATTCTACATTGAGGGTCAAGCCCTCAATACATGAGTCTTTGAGATACTTCATATTTAAACCCTAACATTCCACCCCTGGGTCCCCTATTTCATTATGCAAAATACATTTAGTCTATCTTTTTTTTTTTTTTGAGACAGAGTCTCCTTATGCAGTTCAGGCTGCCCTTGAACTCATTACGTAGCCTAGGCTGGCCTCGAACTCCTGGCAATCCTCCTGCCTCAGTCTCCCGAGTGCTGGGATCACAGGTGTGTGTCATCACACCCGGAAGTCCATCTTCAGGAGTTGTCAAAGTCTCAAATTTCCAGCGTTGTTCAAATGTCCAAGTCCTGTCTCCTTTGAGACTCAAAGCAACTTTCATCTATGAGCCCCTGTAAAAATAAGAAAGAAAGCTGCATATTTCCAAGACACAACGGCATAGGCAGAGCATCCCATTTCAAAAGGGAAAAAGTGGGGAATAGAAAGAGATTGGATCAAAGCAAGACTGAAACCCAGCAGAGCAGACATTAAATCCTTTAGCTCCATATCTGACATCCAGGGCACATGGTGGTGCAATGTGAGCTCCGCAGGGCTTGGGCCCCATGACTTTGGTGGATGCAGCCCATAAGGGCTCCATCTTAAGCTGCCTTCACTCATGGCCTGCACCTTTTCTCAGCAGATGTTTCATATTCCTATTATCTCCAACTTCCTGGGAAGCCCACTACACCTCTGGCATTCCACTGCACATTCCCACAGCTTCACGCATTGTTTTCTCGATGGCTTCTGGGAGGAACTCCAGCCCTGTCACACAGTTTTGCCTGGCCTCCCAGGCCTTCCTTTGAAATCCAGTTGGAAGACACCTTAACTCTTGCATTTTGCATGCCTGCAAAACCAGCATCATGGGGATGCTGCCAAGATCTCCCATCGGCTAAAACAATAGCCTCACCCACTTGGATCACAGTTGTAGCGGCCTCTGAGTGCCTAGATGGTTGAGGATGGTGAAATGAAGCCTGGGGAAATATTTCTTAGGTAGCCCTGTGTGAGCAGGTTGCCCTAGCACTTTTTTTCTTAAAGCAAAATCTTTCAAATGAGTTTACACCTTACACTCTTGAGCCACAAAGGGGTTCTGGCCAACTCCTGAGACACCCTAAAACCATCTTTCCTATTGTCCCCTACAAAGTACTTAGCGTCATTTTAATTGAGCTAATCTCTTGAGAAACTCTGTCTTCCTTGGTCACACCATTAAACCTGCTTTTGCTCTGTTTTCACCCCTATGCTTACTATGAATATGGTGACTCTTAGCGATCATAATCTTTTTATTAGCTCCTGTGTGTTAGTGTCTGTTGTCTGTTTTGTTATCTGGGAGACTGAGGCCAGTGGATTGCAAGTTTGAGCCCAGCTTGAACTAGACAGTGATTTTGAGGCCAGCCTGGACTACAGGGTGAGACCTTGCCTCAAAAAACAGAACAGAAACCATTACTTGCATTACCTTTGCAATAGTGAATACATAGAAACACCTTTATTTTTTATATCAGAGATGACTAAATGACATGTGTACTACATTTTAAAAAAATCTTATGTTAAAATTAGTTTGGGAAGTGCTGCCTATTTTACCCTCTAGTGAAGACTCATATTAGCCTATCAAAGGGTCTAAGAATCTTAAAGCAGAGTCCTATTGTTTGCTAACATTTATTAAATCAGAAGTATAGTTTAAAAGAACAGTCTTTGGGATAGATAAAGAGCTTGAAAGGAAATACAAGATGGTAAAGGCATTTATTTCTGGGTGTTAAGATTTTTTTCTTTTTTGTATTTTCTGAAAACAATTTGCAGTAAATATTGATTCTATAATAAAAATAGTAATAAGGCTATTATTGAAGTTGCATTTTTTAAGGAAAAAAATGACAAAGATAATTTAAAATGGAAGACAATTTAATTTTAACCTCACTTTAAGCAAACAGCATATTCTTCCACACTGTCTTGGAATCCGGTAAGCCAGATACCACACTTGCCCTACTGAGTCTTGCAATGGGCAGACTGCATCTTCAGTGGACTGGTTCCCCCAGAAGAATGCTGGGAAAGGAAGACAGAAATGCTGAAATCTGAACTGCTGTAGTCTACATTCCTATCCTCTGCCTGCAGGAAGCTACTGCATCACTCCAGGGCACAATGGATCTTTAGACAGTTTCTTCCCTTCATATGAATTAAAATATTCCATACCGAAAAAAATGCTTTGATGACTTCAGAAAAGAGTAAGAGTATTTTTCTAGCACACTTGGGATTGGAAGTAGTGGTAGAGGTGTGCTCAGATAGTTTTTGTTCTTTCATTCTCAAAGTATCTTTTCAAAACAATACAGTTTGTTGTAAAAAGACTGGGAAGTGCAGACAGACAAGAGAAAAATGAAAATAAGCAACAACAATAATTAAAACAACCTATTCACTATTACAAGGAGATAGTCAATGTTTACTACTTCTTTTAAATCCTGAGGTACTTTGCCTCTGCTTTAAATAACCAGTTGATGAAGGGGCATATCCTCTATTATAGTCTAGTTTTTCCATACAGCAGTTTTTCATAAATACCTCCACAGGCTTATCCTACTACATCAACATTTTGTGGGTATGTAGTACTCATAGTATGAAGGCATAATGCTTCAGCCAACACCAGGCTGATGTACATTTAAATTGGCTCTATTTTTTGATATTATATATGGTAGTAAAAATTCCTTGCACAATCAAGCATGATGGTGTAGACCTGTACCTCCAGCTACTTTGGAGGCTGTGGCAGGAGGACTGCAGGTTCAAGACTCGCCTGAACAATTTAGCAAGAACCTTTCTTTAAAAAAAAATAGAAGTCCTGGCCTCCCTGCTCCCGCGGCAGAGAGTAGGTTTTCACTCAGAAGCCCGAGGGACTTCTCTGGCTGCGGGTGGGGCGAACAGACTCTCAGCCCCACGAGACCTGCGCCGAGAGGTCTCGTGTGTTCCGGGAGCGGCTGGACTCGTGGGTTCGAGTCTGTGTTTGCCCACACTGCCACGGTTCCCAGCTGAAAAGCGTGGAGAGAGCCAGGTATTTCCCAGCTACTCCCTGAGGGCAGAGCGTGCACAGTGGGACCCCCCTGCCATTACAGTCGCAGTCCTGGCCTCCCTGCTCCTGCGGCAGAGAGGTAGTTTTCACTCAGAAGCCCGAGGGACTTCTCTGGCTGCGGGCGGGGTGAACAGATTCTCAGCCCCACACAACCTGCGCCAAAAGAGCCAGTGTTCCAGGAGCGGCTGGACTCCTGGGCTCAAGTCTGTGCTCGCCCACACCGCCATGGTTCTTAGCTGAAACGCGGGGAGAGAGCCAGGTGTTTCCCAGCTAATCCCTGAGGGCAGAGTGCGTGCATCAGGACCCCTCCGCCACTACAGATGAGTCCTGGCCTCCCTGCTCCTGCGGCAGAGAGGAGGTTTTCACTCAGAAGCCCCAGGGGCTTCTCTGGTTGCATGCGGGGCAAACAGACTCTCAGCCTTGCACGCCCTGTGCCAAGCAAGCGAGTGCTCCAAGAGCCGCTGACCCACCGTTCGAGTCTGAGCTTTGCCTTTGCCCAGACCCCCTAGCGAGTTGAAGGCTGGGGATGTCTGTGACCAATACCCATCTGGGCTGCATCTGGTTCCTGTATGTGTCCTGAACTGACTGGAGACATAGATTCAGGTGGTTCACAAACGATAGATCCTGCAGTTTGTGTCTGAATTATGCCTGTACCCTAAATTACCTGGGGACATAGGTCCACAGACCGGGATTGTCACACCAGTGCAACCCGAGTCAGGTCATGCACATGTCCTGAACTGCAAGGGGACACTGGATCAGACGGTTGGCCATCAAATGACACAAGTGCCTGTGTCTGAGAATGGGGATAACTAGATACAAATCAAAAACTGCCGGAAAACCCAAGACTAAGTAGCGCTACTCAGAGGTCACCCAGGGGCAAACCTGAACAACAGGAAAAATAGGGACACTAGTAGTCTTGGCTGAGCAGCTACTGAAGAGGGAAACTGAGCTTTCTGCA